CCCGGCCCTGCACCGCACCTCACTCTGCGTTTGCTCGTCTGGAGAATGCTGAGCCCCAGGCACTGGGGACGGAGGGTGGGATGAGACACCCACAGGCCCCTGCCTTCAGACGGGAGGGGAGGGGCCGGCAGGGAGGGCACCTTGAAGAGGCAGTGATATTTGGGCTGAATGAAGACACGGGGGAGGGGGGTGACCAGCGTGGACGGGGCTGGGACGCGGGGTCGAATGGAGGAAGCGGCAGGTGCAGGCCCACGTGGCACATCCGTGCTTTATTCCTGGGCAGCGGGAGCCACTTCAGGCTTCAGGAGGGAGGTGCCTGGGGGGCACGGGGAGGGACGAATGTGCGAACCTGGGTCTGGGGCTGGGACTGGGGCTGGGGGTGGGATCTCACAATGCCCCAATACCCGGTGCCCTCTCCCCTGCCTCTCAGCTCACGGGGCGCTCTGCCCAGGGCGGGGGTCCCCCTCCCTCCTTGGAGCCCAGGGCTATAGAGAGGACGCTGACCAGCAGGCTCTCACACTGGCCCCCCCCAGGATCCGAGGCCCAGGAGGCCTTCAGGGAGCGCCTGGCTCAGCCCCTGCGTGCCCCAGAGCACCCAGAGGACGGCCGCTTCCCCAGCCTCGGCTAACAAAGGCAGCGGGGCCCCTGGCCACCTGCTCCAGCCCCGCGACCCGCCTGGCCGGCCTCCCCCTGCCCCTCTCGGCCACAAACCTCTTTTGTGCTTGCTCCCTGGGGCTCCATCTCTGCGCAGAGGTCACGGGCACCGCTGACCCCGTCCCCCTGCTGGCGTGCAGGCTGGTAATTGAAAATTCCAGAGTTCCCTGGGGACCAACTTACAGGGAAACCCAACCCCCCAGGGTGGGCGGCGCGGCAGGAGGGGCCCAGAACATCCAGCTGTTCCCTTTCCTCCACCGCTAATCCCGCCGGATTCCAGGAGAGGCCAGCCCTCCCCGCCCCCCTTCCTCCGCGGCCCCCCCGCGGCCCCTGGCTGGATCATCTTCCCGGCAAATGCCGCCTCCTTGCCACGCCCGGGTTACCGGGCTTAGGGGATCAGAGCCCGGGTGAGCTGCCTGAAACCCAAGCCTGCCGGCTAAGCCCACCAGGCCCAGACCTCCATGGCCGTGCGGGTCCTGCCTGCGCCAACAGGCAGCTGAGCCCCCGGGAGCTGGGGCGGCCGGGTGGGCAGTGGCCGAGGCGGCAGGTGCCGGTGGAGTTAGCTTCATGGCAGGACAGGAGCCATGGCAGGGGGTCCTCGGAAGTCCTCTGAGGTTCGTTGGTGTCCAGACCTCGCTGGGCAGCCTGGGTCAGCTGCAGCCAATGGAGGGGAAAGGGTGGGGTGGGGGGGACCAGGGTGGGCCTGGGTTCACACCCCCGCTCCATCACTCACTTAACCTGTGTGACTGAGCAACGTGCTTCCCTCTTCTGTGCTTCGGTTTTCTCATCTGTGAAATGGGTGTGATAACAATACCAGCCTCGCAGTCTGGATCTGAGTGTTAAATGAGTGGCTAAGGTGCAGCATCTGCCTTGGTGGCCACTGCACGGTCCCACCCCTTTGCGGGCACCCCCGGGCACGCAGGAGTGTTGGGCTGGGTCCCTCCTGCCTCCTCTCCTGGGGAGCCTTGGCCCTGCCCCTCTCCTAGAACCACTTGTGCCACCGCGGCAGGACTCAGCCGAGGACCCCTGGTGAGAGCAGGCCCTGCAGTGAGCGGCGCGGCCGATAGGCAGAGTGTTGAGACTCGGGTGCTCCGGACCCCAACCCTCGTCCGGACCCCGCTGTGGGGCCTCAGACAACCCCTGCCCGTCTCTGGCCCTGAAGCCTCCCAGTGCGGCCCACAGACCATTAGGAACACAGATTCTCAGGCCCCGGACCTGCTGAGTCAGACTCCCTGAGGGGAGGGGGCCGAGTCTCCTGGCTACCCCACCCCCCACCCCCTGCCAGCTCTGCTTTGAGGGGAATGGCGCGGCCATTGGGAAGTGAGAGGGCAGGGACAAAGGGGGCGGCACCGGACCCCCTTGGCCAAGTCCTAACCGGGGGGCTCGGGCCCAGGAGCCCCACACACTCCAAGTCTCCCGGCCTCCTCCGTGAGTGCTGCTGCACCCGGCCCGGAGCCCCTGGAAGGCAGGGAGCCTGTGAGGTTCGTCTCCTGAACGCACCCCAAGGACCAAAGGACTCAGCCCTGCCTGCCCCCTGCGCATGCCCGGGCCACCGCCGCACCTCTAGGGGCTTCCCGCTCCGTGCTCACAGCCCCCTGGCCCCGTGAGGATCCCCACTGGACAGGGGTGAACGCTGAAGCTCCGGTCACCGTGAAAACAGCGCCCAGAGCCACACATCCGCCTTGCCTGGTTGCCCCCCGGGGGACGGGTCCAAGGTGCCTGGAGGATCCCCCTCCCCAGTAGCAGCCTCATCCCCAGGCCCCTGGGGTCGGGGGCAGGGATGGCACTGGGGTTGGACATGGGGTCCAGGCATGAGGGGACAGGACAAGAAGCAGGGTCTGCTTTGAAGGTACTCAGGGAGACCCAGCATGGCCCCTCTCCAGCTGTGTGACCTTGGGGAAGTCTCTGTGCCTCTCTGAGCCCCCGTTTCCTCTTCTGCAAAGTGCAGAGGATCGAATGTCACAGGGCAGCTGCTCTGTGCACAGTGGCGAATGACACGGTGAGCACTCCCGGTGCTGTCCACGTGCCGGGCGCCACACCAAGTGCTCGGCTGGATTCCTGGCCCCCAGGGGCCCACTGCCCCAGCTGGGCAAGGAGCTGAGCTGAGGCTGAGCTGGCCCCCTTGGGTGCAAATCAGCAGATGCTCACCAGGGGTGCTGAGACCAAGGTCCAGGTCGTTCCTGCAGTGCTGCCGCGCTGGAGAGTTTGGGACCCCCAGGCTGCTGCAGCTCAGGGCCAGGGGCTTCACGAGAGGGACAGGCAGGGAGCATCCAACTTCGAGGCCTGGGTCTTCCGGTCTGGCCCGTGGTGCAGGGGAAGCCAGGCCCAGAGAGGGCGCAGCTCCCCGAAGGTCACACAGCCTGTCAGACAGGACAGTCTCGGGGGACGGAAACAGAGCAGGAAACAGGTGCGGCATCCCCAGGCAACAGCTGATGTGTGAGTCCCCATCAGTCCCGGCCCGGCCCCGTGTTCTCATCCTGGGTGGGCAGAGCCCCGCAGAGCAAGCAGGGGAGTGTGGGGAGGCGGGTGTCACCCTCAGCCTTCAGGCGTTCCTGTGCTGCTGGTGACAGGATCTGCTCGTCACCCACCAGCCCCGGAGCCAGGAGGGAATGCGAGAGATGCCCCCTTCAGCGCCCCCTCGGACCACGCAAACCTGAAGCTTGGAACACCAAGTCACACCATGGGAGGGTCTGTGCCAGCCTGCTCTGCTGTGGAGCTCAGAGCCGTGGGTTCAAATCCTGGCACCCCACTGACTGATCTCACAACGCGCCGGGCCCCACTCCCTGCCCCAAGCTCCGGCACCCATCGTTACCAGGCTGTGCAGCTCCTACTGCCCCCCAGCGGCAGCCAACTCCCGAACACACGTGTAAAGGGCTCAGAGCCGTGACCGACACATAGTAGGTACTTTGAGCACATTTATTCCACTTGAGAAAGGCAAAAAACAGGCTGGGTGCTTTACGAGCTAAGGAGTTGAGAAAAGGCCGTGTGCAGCTCCTGGCCCCTCCTGGACCTGGGGAAGTGTGCTGAACTGATTCTGAGAGTCCTAGCACAAAACACAGCCCGGCCTCCTTGTCGTCTTCATCCAACCACTTCCTAATAGCACGAACAGCACCTGCGCTTGGGCTGAGGAAGACGGAGCGGTTGGTTTTACTGAGGTGCAACTCACGCGGCATAATTCAGTGGCTTAGTGTACTTTCCATCGCCCCAAAGAGACCTCCAGACCCAACGTGCCCCCTCCCTCCCTCCCTCCCTCTGCTCTATTTTGTGCCTCTACTGATTCACCTCTTCTGAGTATTCCGTATCCACAGAATCGTCCGATCTGCCCCTTTGCGTCTGCCTTCCCCCTGGGCTGTGTGCGGGGTGCATCCACACCGTAGCAGCTATCAGAACTGCATTCCTGTTCGCGACTGCATATAATTCCATTGCATGTGCCTCCGCCGTTTGTCTAGCTGTGCTCCCACTGATGGGTGCTCACGTCGTCTCCTCCTTTGGGCTGTTGCAAGTGACGCTGCTAGAGGCACACATGTCCAGCATCTGTCTGAGAACCCATCTGCAGTGTGGCGCCAGCCCAGACGGCTCCTGGCTGACAGTGGCTCAGCGCAGGATTTTTCGATGTTGCTGTGATGTTACCGTGACATGCACTCAGAAGAAACCACGGTTTGAGTTTTGAACTTGGATCCATTCCTGGGCTAGCACTAGATGCTCCGAACCTGTCTCTGGCAGCACGCAGAGCTCTGGCAGCCCCGGGGTCACCAGGGGACAGCAACACTCCGCAGCGCGCCGGGCGGCTCAGCTCGGCTGGGACGCGTGCTGGCTTCGGCAGATTCTGCATTGCCAACTCCCAGCATCAGGATGGACTTAGGAGCGGAATTGCTAAAATGAATACATAGTTATGGCGGGGACGAGGGGCTGCTGCAACCCCTAGCATGTATTGGCCCGCAGTAAACGAAGAAATGTGTCCGACACCCTCTCTGCCTCCATGGTCCCCTCTGCTCCCTCTGCCAGGGCCGCCGTCACCATGTCGGGAGCCCAGTCCCACAGACTGGAACTTCCAAGACTGAGTGACAGGCACACAGGCCCCCGGTTCCAGAGCTGGGCCCCAGTGCCTCTCTGCACTCGCCATGCGTGAGCTTCCCCGGGGAGGCCAGCGTTGTCAGGGTCTACAGGTGCCCCCAGGAGAGCTCAGGAGCTGCACCCACAGCCCCACATGAGCCCCTCTGGCCCCCGCCAGCTCCCCTGGGCTGGCTGCGTGGCCTGCACCTCTCTGGTCCCACAGCTTCCCATCTGTCCAGAAGCTGCACTGTCTCATGGCCACCCCGACCCCTGACCTCTGACCTCTCTTGCAGCTCCATCAGCCGTCTCCATCATGCACCAGGTGAGCCGCACCGTGGACAGCATCACCTTGTCGTGGTCCCAGCCGGACCAGCCCAACGGCGTGATCCTGGACTATGAGCTGCAGTACTATGAGAAGGTAACCTGTCCCCCACGCGCCCTCCCACCGGCCTTCCTGGGCCCCTCCCTAGGTGCACTCTTGGCGATGCACCCGCCCGAGAGACCAGGGCCTGGGTGCAGCAGCAAGAGCACCGGCCTCCTGGCTTCTGATCTGGCGCCCCGCCCCCCACGCTACGCAGCCTGGAGTACACGCCTTGACCTCTCTGAGTTTGTTTTCTGGTCTGGGGGGGGGGGGTCCGGCCAGCGACTTTGAACCAATGCCACAGTCGCAGCCCCTCCCCCACCGAGGCACCCTGCACTGGGACTTCAAGGGGCCTGAAGCTATAAAACCCCAGCTTTCCACAAGCTGCGTGTGATAGTCACAATCAGTCCTTTGCCCATTCTTCAGCCGACATTTGAGCCTGCTCGGGAGAGCGGGGCCCGGGGCGAGCGGCACCCTGGTTCCGGCTGAGAGGTTCGTGTCTGCAGGGGAGAGGGTGAGGCGCCTCTCAGCTTTAAACTCAGCCCCTCATTCCTCCCTTGGCTGGAAGCCCCTAGAGCAGCAGCAGGAGCAGCAGCCCAGGCCGGGCAGCTCCGAGTTCCCATCCTGCCTCATTACCAGTGTGTGATCTCGGGCAGCACTGTTTTCCCTCCGAGCCTTGGTCTCTGTGTGTGTCGGGTGTAGACGAGACCACCTCTATCTGTCCGTCCATCCATCCGTCCATCCATGTTTGAGACACAGGGAGAGAGAGCGCCATCTGCTGTCTCACCCCTCCAGTGCCTGCAGTGACTGAGACTGGGGCCAGACCACAGCCAGGAGACAGGCGCTCAATCCAGGTGCCCCGTGGGAATGGCAGGACCCTGATTACTGGAGCCCTCACGCTGCCCCGCAGGGTGTGCATTAGCAGGAAGCTGGGGTCAGGAGCAGGAGCTGTAAAACAAACCCGGGCACTCCGGTGGGGGCGCGGGTGTCTTAGCCTCTGGGCTAAATGCCCCCGAGCCACTTCCCCACTGGGGCCGTGTGAGTGAGACCGGCAGGGGCGGCACCAGTGCAGTGCCTGGCGTCAGCAGAGGCCAGAGTGCTTCCCTGTCCTGTTCTCCCACCTGCTGCACACTGGGCATGGGCAGCATGGGGTGAGGCCGGAGCGGGCAGAGCTGCCTGGGACAGGGCCAGGAGCACAGGTGGTGGTGGCTGCCCACATGGCTGCCATTAGATGCCCCATAAATCCTCTCCTCTGACTGATGACAACTTTATTTTTTTTTAATTTATTTGAAAATCAGAGATACAGGGAGAGAGAGAAAGGTCTTTCATCTGCTGGTTCACTCCCCAGCTGGCCACAATGGCCAGGGCTGGGCCAGGTCAAAGCCAGTGGTCAGGAGCTTCTTCCAGGTCTCCCACATGGGTGCAGGGCCCCAAGCACTTGGGTCATCTCCTGCTGCTTTTCCCAGGCCATCAGCAGGGAGCTGGATGGGAAATGAAGCGGTCAGGACACAAACCCATGCCCATACGGGATGCCGGTGTCACAGGCCACAGCTTTACCCGCTACACCATGATGGGCCGGTGCTGTGGCTTCGTGGGTTAAGCTGCCGGCTGCAGTGCCAAGATCCTGTATGGACACTGGTTCATGTCCCAGCTGCTCCACTTCCCATCCAGCTTTGTGCTAGTGCACCTGGGAAAGCAGCGGAGAACAACCCAACTACTTGGGTCCCTGCTACCCATAAGGGAGACCTGGAAGAAGCTCCTGGCTCCTGGCTTCGGATCAGCCCACCTCTGGCTGTTGCAGCCATTTAGGGAGTGAACCAGCAGATGGAAGACCTCTCTCTCTGTCTCTCCACCTGCCTCTGAAACTCTGCCTTTCATATAAATAAATCTGAAAAAAAAATTTAATTTTCATTTTATTTGAAAGGCGGGGAGTGGGGTTGTGTCTTCCATCTACTGGTTCACTAACACCAGCCAGGGCTGTTCCAGGCCAAAGCCAGGAGCCAGGAGCTCTGTCCAGGTCTCCCACACGGATGGCAGGAGCCCAAGTTCTTGGGTCATCCTCAGGCTCGTCCTCATCCCAGGATGCATTAGCCAGGAGCTGGGTCAGCCGTGAAGGAGCCAGGACTCAAACCAGGTGCTCCAACGGGGACCCCGGCACCCCAAGGGTGGCCTGACCACTGGGCCACACGCCAGTCCTGTGCCTGAGGACTTCTTACCCGCTTCCTGAGCCCCTCCCAGAGAGCCACAGAGGTTGCAAGGTGGTCCCGGGGCTTCCATTCAGACTCAAGTGTACTGAGGAAGGAAATCCTTCAGAGGCAAGCCCACTGGGAACCGGAAATGATGGAAAAGCTCTCCCTAAAGGCAGAAGAAGGGAGGTGGGAGGGCCCCAGCCAGCCCTGCTGGAGCCCAGCTCTCTGAGGCCGGCCCGGCCCCTGCACCCTGTGACCTGCTGGGTCTGCCACACTTCGGTGACACTGAGAGTTCGCCACACACTTGTCCAAGCCTGACCGGGCTTGATCCTGGCTCGTCCTCTCCCAGAGGTCAGGGGTCACATCTCTCCCTCCCATCCCCCACCTCCTGCCCAGTACCCTGGGCCTGGCACAAAGCAGTCGCCTGGGAAACAAGGGTTGGGTGAGTGAGTGGATCCTGGCCCTAGTGTGTGGAGCTCACAGCAGAGGCCCCGGGCACCCCTGGCCTTCACACACACACACACACACACACACACACACCTTGCTGCCCACTTTCCCCACACCCTGTGCTTGTCTCTACCTGTCAGAGTCCCCAGGGTCCCAGCCAAATGTGCATCTTCTTCCTGTGGACTCTGCCCTTACTCTGAAAACCCTGGGAGCTGACAGCTGCTGGCAGGTGCCCCCCACCCCCCACCGCAGGCTGTGGACAGCCAGTGAGCGAATTGTGGGAACGAAGAAGCGAGGGCAGAGCCTGCAGCCCCAAAAGAGGACTGAGCGGAAGCCTGGCTGCCTGGCTGGCCGAGCGCTGGCGTCCCAGCCCCCACCCCCGCCTCCACCCCCACCCCCACCTGGCCTCTCCAATGTCTTCTTTCCTATCTCTCCTGGGAGCAGGCTTTGGTTAAGACTAGTGGTGAAGACACCAGTCAAAGGTGCCTGAGTCCCACACCGGAGCGCCTGGGTCAGTCCCCAGCTCCGGCTCCCGGCTCCGGCTTCCTGCTGATGTGGACCCTGGGAGGCAGCAGTGAGGGCTGGAGTGATTGGGTTCCTGCTGCCCACCAGGGACACCTGGATTAGACTCCTGACTACAGCCCCTGGCCCAGCCTGCCCAGCCCAGGCCAGGACCATGGCAGGCATTTAGGGAATGAACCAGCCAATGGCAGCTCTGGCTGACTGCCTCTCTCTCTAATTAATTGATTGATTGGTTGATTAAAAAATCGCAGCTTGGGGCCAACACTGTGGTGCAGTGAGTTAAGCTGCCACCTGCGGCACCAGCTCCCCCCAACAGAGCACTGGTTCTGCTACTCCGCTTCAGATCCCGCTCCCTGCTAATACGCCAGGGAAGCCAGTCGGGGTCGGTCTCAACCCCTGGGCCTCTGCCACTCTGTAGGAGAGCCAGATGAGGTCCCTGGCTCTTGGCTTCAGCCTTGGCCAACCCGGGTAATTGTAGCCATTTGGGGACTGAACCAGTGAATAGAAGATTCTCTCTCTCTCTCTCTCTCTCTCTTTCTCTCTCTCTCTCTCTCCCCCTCCCTCTCTCTCCTTTCTCTTACTCACGCTACCTTTCAAATAAGTGATTAAATCTCCTGGGGAAAAAAAGAGAGAGAGAGACTGAGTCCGGCTGCCCCCTCCTCAGAGAAGCCCTCCGTCAGCACCCTGACCAGGCCCCCTACCCCCACCGTGGACCTTGCTCCCTCCACTCTGAGCTCCACGGGCACCCCCCGCGGTGGGGATCTTGCCCCAGCCTCTGCTGTGGCCCTGGCGCCTGGCGCTCAGCAGGGGCTGGGCCAGCAGGTGTGGGCTGACTCTCTGGGAAGTGGCCAGGTGAGGGCCCGTGGGGCGCGTGGTGTGGGCGGCTGTCCTGCCAGGGGTGCCGGCATCCCTGCTCCCTCCAGCGGGCAGAGCTTCGGCAACTCAGAATTCAAAAAGGAAAAAAGAGGAGGAAAAAAAAACCTAATTAAGCAGCTGTGTGATTAAATGAAACTGAAAGTGTTTGTCCCTGAAGACAGGAGCGGAAACGAGGAAACCCATCGCGGGCCCGCCTGCGACCCACTTCCTGCCACCGCGGGCAGGCCTGGGGGCTGCTGGGGTGTGAACCGGGATGTGGCTCTGGCCTACTTTCCACGGCAGCCGCAGCATCCCCGGGCCCCTGCCTCGAGGGCCTGGACCAGCAGGCTCCGCGGCAGCCACGTGACCACTGCTCACAGGTCACGGGCACACAGCAGATGCCGAGCACTTGGGCTCCCTGGTCTCATCCTCGTGGTTGGGTAGAGGGGAAACAGAGGCACAGAGAGCAGGCAAGTTGTCCAGGAGCACCCAGGGCGTTTGGCACTGAGCCTGGCCCTCCTGCCTCCCGGCTGTTTCCCAGAACTGCTTCCGAGATGACCGTCAGGTGACGGACCAGCCCTGACCCAGAGGACAAGGGGGCAGGGCAGAGGGCCCGGCAGCCGGAGGTCTGCCTGCCACAAGGTTCGGTTGGTGCCCAGCACCAGGCCCTGGGGTGCAGAGAGAGGCCAGTGTGACAGCAGTTGCCAGGGGTGTGGATGCAGGGTCGTTCAGTATTTACGGTCGCTGACTTTGGATTGGGCCCAGAGACGGTCTCAAAATGAATAACCATGAGACAGGTTTGATACCAGCCACAGAAGAGCCAGTGGGGGCCCCGGGGCACCCAGGAGCGCCCCACCGTCCTGGCAGGGGCCAGGGGAAGCCAGCTTTGGGTGACATTTGAGCTGAGCCCTGAAAGAGGCAAGGAGTCCACCAGACAGACACATGATGGGAGCAGAGTCATCGCAGGCAGCAGGAACAGCATGGTCAAAGGCCCTGGGGCAGGAATGTGCTGGCTGCAGAGCGTGAGCGTGGCAGGAGCAACATGAGCAGGAGGGAGAGCGGCCCGGTCATGGCCGGCCTTCCGGGCCTGGGGCGTCTGGGTTTAATTTAAAGCAGGATGAGGGCGCCCTGGAATGATGCGATCTGACTCCGATGGTGCTAAAGCGCCCTGCAGCTTGCTGTGTGTTGCAAGGGGAACCTGGAGACACGGGGGAGACCCTGTGTAGGGCTCCCACGGGAGCCCAGGAAAGAAAGGTGGTGGCGAGATCGGGAGGCTGTGCAGCGGGGGTGGTGCGAGGCTGACAGAGGCAGGAAGCACATCGAAGCCTGGGGGGGCCAGGGATCCGCCATGGCTGCCTCCAGGTGGGGCCGCCTCCGGGTGGATGTGGGTTTGTGATTTGCAGGTACAGATGTGGGGCTCACCGGGGCTGGGCGCCAGCGGGGGCAGGGGCGCTCAGAAGAGACAGGATGGCATGCAGAGGGACAGAAGCCAGCAGAGCGCCCAGGTCCAGGGAGACAGCGACAGGGGAGTGGCCGCAGAGAGGGAGGAGGAGGTGCAGGGTGGCTTCTGCTGCTGACCGTGCCGGCGAGGCCGAGACGGCCCAGCCGCCGCCTCCGCCTTCCAAGGACACCAGCACCGGGGTGACACCGAGTCCTGGTCTCCTCCTGACAGGTCCGGCGCTGGCTTTCGCCCCTTACGTGGGAATCCCGCGGGCGCCTGCTGTGGATTTTCTACCCGAGGGCTGCACACGTTCCCAGGAGGGCCCAGCAGGGGCTCTGGGGGAGCGGGCGCTCTGTATGGCCTCCCCCTCTCTGCCCCTGCCGCCCCTCTGGGGTTCCCCCGCCTGCCCAGAGCCCGGAGCTGCCAACCGCTCTGCCAGAGGCTTCTGGCTGCTACTGATGGACAGCGTCGGCCTCACGGCAGAGCCGGCGCGAGCTGTTTCCCTCGGCTCCACCGTCCCTGGGGACGTGGCCTCCTTGGCAGCTGCCCCAGAGCACAGCGGTGCGGGCTGCACTCAGCTCCCCGGGCGCTCGAGGAGGAGAGTCGGTCTCGGTTTCAGTGTCTTTTTAAAGATTTATTTATTTATTTATTTATTTGAAAGGCAGAGAGAGAGAGGAGAACCATCGGCTGAGTCACTCCCCCAATGGCTACAACAGCCAGGACTGGGCCAGGCTGGAGCCAGGAGCTTCTTCCGGGTCTCCCAAGTGGGTGCAGGGGCCCAAGCACTTGGGCCATCCTCCGCTGCTTTCCCAGGCCATTAGCAGGGAGCTGGATCGGAAGCAGAGCAGCCAGGACAGGTGCTCATGTAGGCTGCTGGCGTGGCAGGTGGTGGCTCAACCCGCTGAGCCACAGCGCCGGTCCTGGATGCCAGTGCGTGTTCAACAGAGATGTCTACTGGGCAGGCAGACGTGAGCAGAAGGCCCTCCCGATGGGGACAGAGAATGAGCAAGGCGGGGGTGAGCTGGGCAGCCCAGGCGGCATTCTTGTTGTCGCCCTCGGATCTGCCTGGAGCAATCTGGCTGCTCGCCCCTTCCCCACGTGTGTGGATTCACCCATCTGTTGAACCCTGGGAGGACTTCCTGTATGCGGTGTTGATGCTAACAGCCAACACACGTTACATGTGTTGACATGTATGGTGACAGCCAACATATGTTGCATGTGTTGACATGTATGGTGACAACCAACATATGTTACTGTGTTGCCATACATGGCAACACTCAACATATGTGACGTGTACCGCCAGGTATGGTGACAGCTAGCATATATGACATGTGTTGCCATGTGTGGCAACAGCTAACACACATGATTGTGTTGACATGTATGGTGACAGCCAACACACATGAATGAAGTCATGAGACTGTGCTCAAAAGCTATACCCGTATGTTCCTGGTGAATCTTCACCACCATCCCGTATGGGACCTGCTGGTGTGGCCCCATTTTAGAGACGAGAAGACTGGTTCAGAGGGCTCACGACGTCAGCCAGTGAGTGCCTCGCTGCCTCTAGGTCTCGGGGTAGAGACTCAGACCAAGGACTCGCACAGTTCACTCTGGATTTCTTCCCATCGCCTGTGGGCGATTACTCCCTGATCAGACTCAGGCACTCCAGAGACAGTGCCTGCCTGAACTCCAAGGCACAAGGCACTGCTTGATCCGATTTTACCTTCACAGCAGCCATGGGAGGTCCACACTGAATGTTCTAGTAAAAACCAGAGACTGGGGGCGGGGATGGTCTTCCCCAAGACCACCATGCAACTCAGTGTAAGAACTGGGCTGGAAACAGCTTCCCATCCCGGGCTCCATCCCACGCCGGGTTCCAGGAGAGGGATCTGCTCCGGTTGGTTCCGGGGGCCTCTCATCTCCTTCCAGTGCTGGGGAATTGGGCACCTCCTGCATCTCTAAGCCGGCACCTGTCCTGTTCGCAGAACCCAACCCCTTTCTTCCCGCATGAGCAGATCCCATGTTGGACAGCGGCACCCAGTGGCTAAGTCTGGTACTGCGGCCCAGGGTTTGTAAATTCGGAAAAGTTTCACTGTTCATTCATTATTATGTCAATAGTGAGCACCTACTATGTGCTCGGCCTGGGCACCTGGAGGTGAATGAGATGTGCTCCCTGGTCTCAAGGAAGTCACACCCTTCGAGAAGACAGGCAGGTGTATCAGAGCAGTCAGTGGGAAAGGAGACAGGGGACCTGCAGCCCCGGTGGAGACATCGGGGCCGTTCCCCCCCCCCCACCCCCGAGCTGATAGCTTGAGCTGAGCTGCCAGACTGAGGCGGAAGGAGTATCTCAGACAGGGACGAGAGTGCTTGCGAAAGCTCAGCATGTCCGGGGAGGGCGGGGCTGCCTGCTAGAGATGTTCCGTGTGTCAGCCCCGAGCATCGCGTGGGCATGCTTGCACTAACGTTATTTCTTATTTATCTGAAACTCAAATTCAGCTGGGCAGCATCCTGGGTTTGGGGTCCTGTGTTTCAGGTGGTCAGGGCCAGCTGGAGCCTAGAGGAGGACATGGGGCACGTGGCAGGAGTGACCGGCAGAGACATCCCATAAGGGCGTGGATGCCAGGCTAGGAGTTGGCCTTCCCCTGTGGGCATCGGGAAAGGACTCTGTCACAGGACCCTGTGCTTGGCACAAGGGACACAATCCCTCCCTCATGAGCTTACAGTCAAGGGGACCAGATGAGCCCTGGCCTGGGGTCAGGGAGTGAGACAGGAACTCCTTTCTACAGCACCCACAGCAAGTGCTCGGGGCACAGAGGAGGGAGAGACATATCTGGCTGGGAAGTCAAGGGGGCTTCCTGGAGGAGGGGACAACTGATCTGACTCAGGAAGGGCCTTCCTGCGTGCTGCTGCCCCCCACGAGCCATCCCTGCCTCCCCCTGGTGTGGGGGCAGAGGAAAAGTTCTCACAGCCCCTTCTCTAGCCCCGCATCCCAAATTCATTCTCACCTCCTTGCCTTCGCACCTGCTGTTCCTCCACCAGGAACGTCCTTCCTTGCCTGGGCGACTCCTGGTTGCTCTCTAAGAGAGCAGTCACCAGCGTGAGCCGATTCATTTTATCTCTGAGCCGCCCCTCCAGGGGGCTATTGCTGGGACCCCCTGTACAGATGAAGAAAAGGAGACGAGAGAAGTGCAGGGACTGTGCGGGGTCGCTGATGGCCGAGGGGTGGAGCTGGGTTTGAACCCAGGGAAGTCGGGCTCCGGGTTGTGCCGGGAGCCTTCATGGCTCCTGGAGGGCCCCATAGCCGGCAGGTGTGATCAGGTGCTCGTGTTTCCGGATGAGGGTTCTCAAAGGTGCCCGTGTGGCTTGCTTTCCTGGGCTGAGCTCTCTGAAGCCAGGGCGTGTGCCTCGCCCCGGGTGAGCCCCCAGGAGAAGAGGATCCTTGGGGCAGGTTTGCTGAGCAGTCTCCACGTGCACCCAGCCCGGCCCCACCCCCATGGCGCCTTTGTCTTGCCCCAGGCAGTGCTCAGGAGGCCAGCACAGTGCCCCGTGTCTCTGAAGGGAGGGGACGTGGGGTCCTGGGACACCCGAAGGCATGGACATTCGCGGTGGCTCCGTGCAAGAGCTTGGCCTTGACTCCCAACGCTGCCAGCACTGGCAGGTTGAGCCTCCGTTTCCCTTCCGGGCTCACCCACGTGTGCTGAACCCGACAAGGACTCCTTCCCCCAGAGGGCACCCAGGGGCCCGCGGCACCTACCACGGCCTTCTCCCTGCTCTAAAGCAGCCCAGCCCCCAGGGTCTGCGCACAGACGACACCACGCGGGGCGGCAACCTCACTAACCGCCTTCTCTATTCCTCGGCAGGAGCTCAGTGAGTTCAACGCCACAGCCATAAAAAGCCCCACCAACACGGTCACTGTGCAAGGCCTCAAAGCCGGCGCCATCTATGTCTTCCAGGTGCGGGCTCGCACCGTGGCAGGCTACGGGCGCTACAGCGGCAAGATGTACTTCCAGACCATGACGGAAGGTGAGCCAGCCCGCCGCCGCCCCCACTGCGAGGCCTCTCCGTGCAAGCTGGAGATGGCGCTGCCTCTCCTGGCGGCCAGTGCTTGCCCACCCCCCCAGCTTGGGAACCTTTGTGCAGTGTGCAGCCTGCACAGCCATCCCTGGAGGCCCCGTTTCAGTGGCCCAGAAAGGATGCAGATGCCTCCATTGCCTCCATGGCAGCAGCTGGGCCACATCCCTGCCCGGGCCTCCAGGAGCTCAGCCCTGACTCACATGGCCATGCTGAGGAAGTCCCTTCTGTCCCGTAGATCAGATCTCTCTCATTTGTAAAGATCTCTCTCATTTATAAAGATCTCTCTCATTTGATTTGAGAGAGTGAGCCTGTTGTATCCATGCTCGGCTCCAGCACCTTGCAAGGGGGATTAAGAAGTCTGAAGTCATGTCTGAGTTCAGCTGGAAGAAGTGCTGGATGGATTAGTAATGTCTACCCTGGGCAGGGCTATGGGAGGCTGTAGCCCGAGTGCAATGTGTGTTTCCCCATCTGGGACTACAGGGTCTCTAAGCACCACTCCTGCTCTAACAGTCTTTGAGGAGCAGCATAGTTTATTTTTTTTAAGTTTTTTATTTGTTTATTTGAAAGGCAGTGTTGGCTGGCGCCGCAGCTCAATAGCCTAATCCTCTGCCTGTGGTGCTGGGTTCTAGTCCTGGTTGGGGCACCGGATTCTGTCCCGGTTGCCCCTCTTCCAGGCCAGCTCTCTGCTGTGGCCCAGGAGTGCAGTGGAGGATGGCCCAAGTGCTTGGGCCCTGCACCTGCGTGGGAGACCAGGAAAAGCACCTGGCTCCTGGCTTCGGATCAGTGTAGTGTGCTGGCCACATCGCACCGGCTGCAGCGGCCATTGGAGGGTGAACCAATGGCAAAGGAAGACCTTTCTCTTTGTTTCTCTCTCTCACTGTCCACTCTGTCTGTTAAAAAAAAAAAGGCAGAGTTACAGAGAGGCAGAGGCAGAGAGAGAGAGAGAGGTCTTCCATCCACTGGTTCACTCCCCAGTGGGCCACAATGGCCAGAGCTGAGCTGATCCGAAGCCAGGAGCCAGGAGCTTCCTCTGGGTCTCCCATGCAGATACAGGGGCCCAAAGACTTGGGCCATCTTCTACTGCCCTCCCAGGCCATAGCAGAGGGCTGGATCGGAAATGGAGCAGCCAGGTCTTGAACTGGTGCCCATGTAGGATGTCAATACAAGGAGCAGCATAGTTTAAACAATGCGAGCTGCGACGCCAGGCAGATGGAGATCCTGGTCCTGACTCTGCCCCGTGTCACCTCACCTCTCGGCCCCTCGATTCTCTCGTCTACAAGTGGGGGTGATAACAGCTGGCTCACCATCATCATCCTCACTAGAGGGTGGCGCTAGGTCCCGTGCACAGGTGGCCGACACCAGTAGTGGGCACGGCATGGCTCTGGCTGCTGTGAGTCTGCCTGCATGTCCATGGGCCAGCCGAGCCCCGGGGCGGCTCTCAGCCTGGGCCTTTGTCTGGCCGAAGCTTTCCGAGGTGCCTGGCCCCCCACATTCCAATCCCCCCAATGGCTGCTCACTCACCTCCTCCGTGAGATGCCCCTTCCCCCGGGCAGCGGCTTCACCTCCCGCCGTCCTTTCCCACGTGGGATGAGTGTCGCCGACCAGAACCTGGGACTGTCCTACGAGCCTTTCTGTATTCCTTTACCAAGTGCATGTTGAGGCCCTGCCGTGTGCTAAGGACACAGCTCACCTCGTCCCCCACCTCCAAGCTCCAGTTCCAGTGGCAACAATAGGATCCAAGGCTCTGATGGTGTTGAAGGCATTGGGAAGGAACCAGGTGCTTTGTAAGAGCCAGACCCATGCTAAGTGCACCCGATGTATAATCTCATTTAAGTCCCTGGCCTTGGGGAGAGCAGGCCTGGATTCCACCTCCTAACTGTGACCCCAGCAAACCCTGACCCTCCTAAGCGGGCAGTCATGGGAAGTACATCACCAGACTGGTGCAAGAATCAGACAGGATAGGTGGCAGATTGGAGGGGGCGCATCAAGAGCTGATGCAAAATGGAATTAAAAGACAAACGTAGGGTGGTACAAAAAAAAACTTCTAATTGCTTTTTTAAAAAAAAAAAAAAGATTTATTTATTTATTTATTTGAAAGAGTTACACAGAGAGAGAAGGAGAGGCAGAGAGAGAGAGAGAGAGGTCTTCCATCCTCTTGTTCACTCCCCAATTGGCCACAATGGGCAGAGCTGTGCCTATCTGAAGCCAGGAGCCAGGAGCTTCCTCCAGGTTTCCCACACAGGTGCAGGGGCCCAAGCACTTGGGCCATCTTCTACTGCTTTTCCAGGCCATAGCAGGGAGCTGGATCGGAAGTGGAGCAGCCGGGACTTGAACCAGCGCCCACATGGGCTGTCGGCACTCCAGACTGGGGCTTTAACCCACTGCGCCACAGCGCCGGCCCCTCTAATTGCTTTTTCATAATTTGCCTTTGCATGCACTTTTTGAAGGCCCTCGTATGCAAGGACTGCAACATTTTTTGCAGCAAAACAAACATTTTAATCTTAAAGATTGATTTATTTATTTTAAGAAGAGAGTGTCACACAGGGAGATGCAGACAGAGGGGTCTTCCATCTGTTGGTTTAGTCTCTCCGCATGGCAGCTAAGGCCCTGGCTGGTTCATGCCAAAGCCAGGAGCCTGGACCGCCCTCTGGGTCTCCCACATGGGCGGCACCAGTGCCTGCACTTGGGCCACCTTCCGCTGCCTTCTGGGCGCATCAGCAAGGGGCTTGGGTTCTGAGTGCTTTGTGTGACAGCCATCTTTATCCTCTTATGTAGACAAGGAGAGCAAGGCACAGACAGGTAATGACTTTGCCCAAGTTCCACCCAGACAGGAAATGGCACCCTGGGGCTGCCAACCCAGGGGGCTCCTCTGACCCGTCGCTCCACGTGTCAGCTGTTTTTATTGATTCTCCTACCAAACATGAGCTGGGCATATTATTACACCCATTTTAGAGATGAAAATTTGAGGCTGGAGCCGTCCTTGGACATGTCCAAGGTGACATGTGAGGGGGTGATGGCCTGCTCTCCACATGGGCGTGAGACAGGCCCTGTGTGGGGAACAGCAACAGAGCCTGGGGGTCCCAGGAGACCCCAGGAGCAGGCTGGGGGCGGGTGGAAGGACCCCAGAGCGAGGTGACAGTGCCCCGCTATGCTCTCTCCCCAGCTGAGTACCAGACGAGCATCCAGGAGAAGCTGCCCCTCATCATCGGCTCCTCGGCCGCCGGCCTGGTCTTCCTCATCGCTGTGGTTGTCATAGCCATCGTGTGCAACAGGTGGGTTGGGGTCCCAAGCCTGCTGCGGGCCTGGCTGCCCGAGATGGAGCTCGCCTCGGCCTGGCCCCTCCTGGTCCACGTCTGTGACCGCGGGAGGCATCCCCAGCGTTGCTGGGGCCAGGGGAGCCCTCCCCTGCCACTGCCTAAATGGCCGCCTGCAGCGTAGCTGTTGCCCTGGACAAGTCCACCCGTGAAAGAGCCGGCCCGTGGCGACACAAGCACTTGAGCTTGGAGGGCAGACTGCAGGATGCTGGGGCTACGGGGGGTGGTAGACGGGTCACCCCACCTTCTGCACTAGTGCAGGGCCCCGCTGAGCTGCGGGGACGATGGGAGGGGGTTAGACAGGAGGCGAGGAGACAGCGCCCCCAGCATCTGGCAAGGCGGGGAGGGGACCCTTCCCCAGCTCCCACAAAAGAGACTTCTCCTTAAAGGGGACCCTCTGTAGAACAGACTGGACCCCAGGCCAGGTGACAGAGGCCATGGCTGGGCGATGGCTTTGCCGCCTGGAAGGGGCTCAGCTGGACAGAGGCCAGGAGAGTGAGCCTGGACTTGAGGTGGGAGGGGGCGTAGGGACCTAAGCTGCCAGGAAGGGGCAGAGAACCTTCTAGCAGGAGGACAGCTCCGCGGGGCTGCCCCCCTCTCCCTGCGCCTGCTGTGGCTCCCAGCTCCCCGGGCGCCTCCAGGTGGCTCCAGCCCTTTGCTCTTGTTCCAGAAGACGGGGGTTTGAACGCGCCGACTCGGAGTACACGGACAAGCTGCAGCACTACACCAGCGGCCACAGTACGTACCCGCCCCAGAGGGCAGCCAGGCAGAACGGCCAGCTGCTCCCCAGACGCACCAGGCTCATGCTGGCCCCCTGGCCTTGGCACATGCTTGCCCGTCTGCCTGGACCCCCACCCACCGTATCCATTCCCTGACTCATACCTTAGGCCCCATCAGGTTTCGGGGCTCCTGGGGCTTCGGGCCCTCTCTTGCTGTGCTGCAGAGAATGGCGGTTTTCTTATTCCCTGAGCTGCACGGTCGGGGTCCCTGAGACAGGAACCACGCCTGCTGTTGGCCTCTGCATCCGCCTGGCGCGGAGCAGGCACGGGTGCACCTTGCAGAACGCACCAGCAATGCCGGAACTGCGCATGCGGAAGGTGCTCTGGCCCTCGGCAGAAGCCCCTCCTCCCTGTGCTCCCCTAGTGGCCTGGCCAGGGCCCCCGTCTTCCCCACCATCCCCTCCTACATCCGGCCAGGCCGAGCGTGCAGAAGGGCCCGAGAGAAGAGCAGCTCACGCCCAGATGCTGCTCTCCACGCAGCCTGGGCGGAACCAGTCACCGGGGTGCGCGTCGGAGGGGAAAGCCCGGTCCTCACCTCCTCTCTCAGCAAAGAGGAATCCGCACGTGTCCATCTGTCCTCCGCAGGGCGCCCTAGGGCCCCACAGGGCCGCCATCCCCCTCTGGGTGTGCCAGGCCCGGTTCTAGAAGCCGGGGACACACAGAACCCCAGGCTCTGTAGAAGTGTCCTGGCGCCGGGCTGGGGAATCCGCTGAGGCCCATGGCGTCAGTGGGGCTGGCCCCACCAAGGCAGCCACAGCAGGCCAATTTTGAAGTTGATCATTTTGTATGGCCTGCAGATGACGTTTAAAGATCCAAATGACCCTTGGCAGAAAAAGGTTCCCCACCCCTGTTAGAGGGAGGGACCAGGAACGAGAGCGACCCCCGGACCCAGCGAGCGTGGCTACTATTTCTCCGAAATACAGTGCTGTGGGGAAGGCGGGGAAGACGGTGAGCGCAGGGTGTGGCTGAGGCATGGAGGGAGCCACTGCTGACCTCATTGTGAGGGTTTTGTTTGAACAAAGATACAAAGGAGCCTGGGAAGAGCATTTCTGGCAGAGGGAACAGCCTGTGCCAAGGCCTTGAGGCCAGAGCCTGCCTGGCAGGGTTTAGGAACAGAGAGGCCAGTGGGATTGGGACCAAGCTGGGGCAGGACCTTGGCCTAAGCCTGGGAGGGGCTGACACAGGGAGACAGCAGGTGACGGAATCATCCGGGGCAGACAGGACAGGGGCCAGACCCGATGGCCGCAGTCACGGTAGCAGCTGGACCCTGAGGTCCAGTTTGAAAGCAGAACCCCTAGGTTTGCTGCAGGAGTGGGTGTGGGGTGCGCAAGAAAGAACAGAGCCAAGCAGGTCCAGACTGGAAGCTTCGGGGTGAGGCTTCACGGGGAGTAAAACCCCTGGCCATAAAGTCATGTGGGATGCATGTGTGAGGGCAATTATAGGGTCCAATGTCCACCAGACGGCCCAGGGAACGGCATTGCAGACAGGGACGGGACAAGGGCTCTCAGAGCTGAAAAGCAGCGGGAGGCCCACAAGGAACAGATGGACGTGCGGGGTCGGGGTGTGGCCTGCGGTAAGCAACGCTCATGTCCCGCATCCAAGTGCCTGGGCTGGAGCCCAGCTCCCCTCCCGGCCCAGCTCCCTGCTAACGCGCACCCTGGGGGGTCAGTGATGGCTCCAGGCCCGAGGACTGGGCTCCTGCCACCCGCGCGGGAGACTCAGATTCAGGCCGCCTTCCAGGTTCCTAGCTTCTGTGGGCATCTGGGGAATGAACCAGCTGATGGGAATGCGCACTCTCCCTCTCTCCCAAGTCAATAAATTTTTGAAAAAATGTTTTTAAGATGGACACCTTTAAGTACCCAGAAATAAAACTCTCCTGTGCCTTAAAAGTAAGTCATCCGTTCCATCGTCCCCTCCAGTTCCGCAAGGGATAAAATCGTGCTCCTAGCCGCGGCTGCACGTGTTACGGGCATGCACCGTGCCAGGAACTGTTTCCAGGCTTTGCCCGCATTTATTTGCTTACTCCTTGTAAGTTCCCCTTTACGGAGGAGAAACTGAGGCACAGAGGCTGCGCAGTTGCTCAGGAAAGCAGCCGGAGTGTGGAGCCCGCTGTCTGCATTCCCCCGAGCTAGACCCAGAGGGGCCCCCGCTTTGTCGCTGGAGCTGTTGGGGAGCCAGGGACGAGAAAGCAGGAGCGATGTATCTTAAAAATAGCCCCCGGGATGTGTCCGCAGACCCGTACATTGCAAAGCCTCCTCGCTGGGCCCTGAGCTGAAATCTGAGCTCTGAGGAGACTTTGTTCTTTTCAAAGCACTGCTGGCCCTGTGATCCCGACGTGGCCAGCGACCCCGCGTGGCCAGGGCCGAGCAGGTGCCGAGGCCCACGGGTGTGTGACCACCCACACAGTCGCCTGGTTCCCATCCTGCCGCAGGGGCTGCTGCCAATCCCAGGGTCTGTGGTGCCTGGAGGTGGAGCCAGAGGGTGCCAGGCTTCCCACCCCTGCTCTGCCGCTGGCCCGCTGAGGACTGTGGGAAAGGCATCGCGCCCCTCTGAGCCCTGGTGGCTTTATACCGGGAGTAGCCAGAGCGACAGCTCTTTCATGGGTCCCGAGGATGAGACGGATGAAGTGCTTTGTAATAATAATATTTCACGGTAGCCACCTCGTCTTTCTAACAGCGGCACTTTCTCAGTGCTGTTTGCCAGCTGCCAAGCCCTTAAAAAGATTCCCCATTTAATCCTTGCACTCCTCTTGTGAGGTAGGGACTATTTTTTTACACCCACTTTGTAGCTGGTAAAAAAAAAAAAAATGAGGCATGGGGTGGGTGTTGGGCACTGTGCTTAAGACAGTGCTTGGGATACCTGCCTCACCTACCAGGGCGCAGCGTTGGAGTCACCTCCGCTTCCAGTCCAGCTGCCTGTGAACGCACATTCCGAAGGCAGCAGGCGATGGCTCGAGTCCCTGGGCCCCCGCCACCCACATGGGAGACCCGGGGGGAGTTCCTGGCTCCTGACTTTGACCTGGCCCAGCCCTGGCTGTTGCAGGCATTTGGGAAGTGAACCAGCAGATCAAACATCTGTCTCTGTTGTCTGTCTGTCTCTCTCTCTCTCCCCCTGCCTTTCAAATAAAATGAAAATAAATGCATAAAAATTAAAATAATAGCCGGCGCCACAGTTCAATAGGCTAATCCTCCATCTTGTGGCGCCAGCACACCGGGTTCTAGTCCCGGTCGGGGCGCTGGATTCTGTCCCGGTTCCCCTCTTCCAGGTCAGCTCTCTGCTGTGGCTAGGGAGTGCAGTGGAGGATGGCCCAAGTGCTTGGGCCCTGCACCCCATGGGAGACCAGGAGAAGCACCTGGCTCCTGGCTTCAGATCAGCGCAGTGTGCCGGCCGCAGCGCGCCAGCCATGGCGGCCATTGGAGGGTGAACCAATGGCAAAGGCAAAGGAAGACCTTTCTCTCTGTCTCTCTCTCTCACTGTCCACTCTGCCTGTCCAAAAAAAAAAAAAACTTAAATAATAGAAGTGGGGCACAGAGGTGAATCATCCAAGAGCTTCCAGCTGGCTCAACACAGCGGCCAATCCTGGACTGAAACTCATAAAGCAGTTGACTCGGACACATTGTCCCTGGCAGAGGCAGAATTCAAACCCAGGACTCCAAGCGCCTGCCCCCTCCTCCCTCCTCCTGAATTCCCCAGCTACAGCCTGGCAGCCACGAATCACCCAAACCTGGTCCGGTGTTTCCAGTATCATCTATATGCTCTGCAGAGGGCTCAGCTTGGCAAACTGCCCGGCTGGGGCCCAGGCCAGTGGCGAGCTGATCAAGAAGAGGAAGAGGAGCGGGGGCGTCGGGCCTGGTGGTTAAACCATCAGCTGGGACGCTCACATCCCAAAGCAGAGCGCTTGGGCTGCATTCCTGGCCCTGGCTCCTCCTGGCTGCAGCTTCCTGCAAGTGCAGACCCCGGGAGGCGGTGGTGACGCTCAGGTGGTGGGGTCCCTGCCGCCACACGAGACGCCGGGACTGGGTTCCTGGCCCTTGGCTTTGGCCCAGTCCAGCCCCAGCTATCACAAGCTTTTGGGGGAATGAACTGATCAACGTGTGCTTGCTCTCTCTCTCTCTCTCTCTCTCTGTTTCCAGTTCTGCTCCTCAATTTACATTTTACTTTTTTTTTTTTTTTTAAGTTATTTATTTATTTGAAAGGCAGAGTTACAGAGAGGGGGAGGGAGTGAGAGATCTTCCATCTGCTGGTTCGCTGCCCAAATGGCCACAACAGCCAGAGCTGGGCCAGGTCAAAGCCAGGAGCTAGGAGCTTCTTCCTGGTCTCCCATGTGGGTACAGGAGCCCAAACACTTGGGCCATCTTCTACTGTTTTCCCAGGCACATCATCAGAGAGCTGGATCGGAAGTGGAGCAGCTGGGACTTGAACCAATGCCCACATGGGATGCCAGCACTGCAGACGGCAGCTTAACCTGCTACTCCACAGTGCCAGCTCCTCAAATTTACATTTTATAAAAAAAGTGGGGGGGCTGGCGCTGTGGCATAGCAGGTAAAGCCGCTGCCTGCAGTGCCGGCATCCCATGTGGGCACCAGTTGCAGTCCTAGCTGCTCCACTTCCAGTCCAGCTCTCTGCTATGACCTGGGAGAGCAGGGAAGATGGCCCAGGTGCTTGGGCCCCTGCACCCACATGGGAGACCCAGAGGAAGCTCCTGACTCCTGACTTCAGATCGGCACAGCTCCAACCATTGTGGCCAATTGGGGAGTGAACCAGCGGATGGAAGACCTCTCTCTCTCTCTCTCTCTCTCTCTCGGCCTCTCCTTCTCTCTCTGTGTAACTCTGACTCAAATAAATAAATAAAAATCTTTAAAAAAAAAAAGTGGAAGAAGAGTGGGTATCGCAGGGGGAGATGACAACTTGAGCAGAGCGTGGAGGCAGAGAGCGTGAAACCACCCACCCCGCGCCACCCTGCGCCCCACCATGGCCGGCAGTGAGGGGGAGAGCTGAGCACACCAGGTACAGCACTGGCCATTGTCCTGTGAGTGCCAGGGAGCCCTGATGACCAGTGCTCCTGACCAAGGCTTGGCAGTGGCTGGCAGCGGAAGTGACCAAGTTGGCTCTTTTTTTTTTTTTTTTTTTTTTGAGGATTTATTTATTTATTTGAAAAGCAGAGTTAGAGAGAGAAAGAGAGAGGTCTTTCACTGCTGGTTCACTCCCCAAATGGCCGCAATGGCTGAAGCTACACTGATCCGAAGCCAGGAGCCAGGAGCTTCTTCCAGTTCTCCCACGTGGATGCAGGAGTCCAAAGAGTTGGGCCATCTCCTGTTTTCCCAGGCCAAAGCAGAGAGCTGGATGGGAAGTGGAGCAGCCAAGACTTGAACCGGTGTCCATGTGGGATCCCAGCACTGGAGGCGGCGGCTTTACCCTACCCACGATGCCACAGCGCTGCCCCCCCCAAGTTGGCTTTGAGCTCCCGCTGTGCTTGCCCAGGGCTCCCTGAACCCACCCCCTCCTGCCCTCCCTTCCTAGCTGGCCACCAGAGGGGCCTTCCCCAGTTCTGTTAACAGAGGGCAGGGACCTCATTGGGGTGCAGTAGGTGAAGCCACTGCCTGTGACGCTAGTATCGCCTATGGGTGCTGACTCAAGTCCCAGCTGCTCCACTTCCAATCCAGCTCCCTGCTAATGTGTCTGGCAGAACAGCAGAGGATGGCTCAATGCTTGGGCCCCTACCACACTGGGGAGACTGGGATGGAGTTTTGGGCTCCTGGCTTTGGCCTAGCCCAGCCCTGACTATTGTGGGCATTAGGGTGTGAACCAGTTGATGGAAGATCTCTCCTCCCAACCCTCTACCTTGCAAATAAAGAAATAAATCTTTTTTTTTTTTTTTTTTCAAAAGAAAGAGGACAAATCCAGTTGCCAAGAACCACAGACCATGCACTGGGTCTGAGCAAAACACAGGAGCATCTCCAGGGAGCGGCTTGCCCAGCTCAGCACTTGGGGAAAGAGGGAGTCATGGCTGGACCCCCAGAAGAAGGCGCCATGGCCAGATCCTGGTTGTGCACCACCCAGGAGGCAACGCGCCCTGGAGCCAAGAGGGCTGGCCCTGGGTTCCGGTCCTGGCTGTGCCATTTGCTGGCTGTGTGGCTCTGGCCAGGTATCTTAACCTCTCTGAGCTGCAGCTTCCCTGTGTGTGAAATGGGGATAGTGATCCTTTTCTCCGAGAATTACTGGAAGGAAGCCATGAGATGCGGCTGCGTTTAGGGGACCTGGCACAGGTGGGGCACAGACAGAGGCTGGGGTGACAGCTGCTGTTGTGGATGGTCTGTCTCGGTCATCTGGACTCAGCTGCTTGGAGGCAGAGTGTCTTTTGTGCGCCTTCCCCTGCTCCCGGGCACCCCCCCACCTCGGGGGTTCACTGGGTCTCTGGCTTCCGGGAGGCTGCTTGCAAGGCTTGGACCCCACAGGTGTGCCTTGCGTAGCCAAGAAAAATCCAGAGGCCCAAGCTCAGGGGTGGATTTTATTTTTATTTAGTTGAAAGGCAGAGTGACAGAGAGAGACATCTTCCAACCACTGGATCACTGCTCAAGTGCCCAGAGCAGCCCGAAGCCGGGAGACCGGAACTCAGGCCAGGTCTCCCCGTGGATGTCAGGAGCCCAAGCACTTGAGCCATCATCCGATGCCTGCTCCCAAAGCTGGATCAGAAGCGGAGCCAGGACTTGAACCAGGCGCTCTGATCTGGGACGTGGGCATCCCAAGCGGCGTCTTAGCCGCTGCTCAACCAGACAGTCTGTGGGATAATTTTGAGTCCTAATATCAGATGACTTAGACACATTCTTCTAAACACAGGCGGTGGTTTTGTTACTGCTGAGAGAGACAGTGAGAGGTCTCTCACCCCGTGGTTCATTTTCCAGATGTCTGGGCAACATCTGGAGCTTGGCCGAGCCAAAACCAGGAGCCTGGAATTCAATCCAGGTCCCCCACGTGGGTGGCAGGGACCCGAGTACTTGAGCCCTCACCTGCTGCCTCCCGGGTGCGCGTGAGCAGGGAGCTGGATCAGAAGCGGAGGTGGACTGCGCCCAGGCACTTCCCTGTGGGGTGCGGGAGTCCCCAGCGGCAGCCTCACCACTGTGCCACCTGCCCACCCCGCAGTCTTTCCTGTGAGGGCTTTGTGGGGCGGACGCCTCTGCTCTAGCAGCAGCTCTGCTGTTACAGCATGGAGGTAGCCACAGGCAACGGAATGAACAGAGCCAGGTTCCAATAAAACTTTATTTACAAAACAAGCAGTGGGCCAGTTAGAAGCTCCAGCTCCTACATTCCTGGAATGTCTAAAATGGAGGCTGAGTATGGTCGGCTAACAGGTCCAAGGTCACACAGCTGAGCAGGGTTGATGGCCTCACATCACCGATCTGCAGTGTCTTGCAGGGACCCAGCAATGCCAGCTCCCAGCTCCTGGGGCTGCTCCCTCCAAAGTGACAGCTCTCAGAGCAGTGGGAGAGGTGAGCAATAGCCGAGGAGCCAGAGGAAGGCCTCTGGGCTGGCAGGAGCCGGAAGGGGTGGGCGTAGAGGATCAGTTCCCTGGGAAGGGGATGTGGGAGGATCCTGTGTCCCTTCCTGCAGAGCCTCCTGCCCGGTGATGGGCCAGAACTGGGTCTTTGATGTCCTGGTTACCTCCTTGTGTCTTGGCACCAAAAAACCAAAAATCTACATGGGATCCAGAATCAAATCAGTATGCCCCATGCCCAGCCTCCTGCTGATCTCCAGGGCACCAGGGGTCCAGGAAGGTTTAGACTTGACTAATGGACACAGGGGGTGGTCCCAGGAACTGTGGGTGCTCAGGCCCTGGGAGGGCTGCCTCAGCAGCCTGGACAGCCTGGAGGGGCTCCTGTGTGAGAGGCAGGATGGAGTTGTCCTTGGCCGGACCCCCACCACAACTGTCTATTGCTTGTTCTTTCCGTACTTTTAAAATTTTTGTTTAAAAGCCACAGAGATCTGTCCACTGGTTCATTCCCCAAATGCCAACAACAGCCAGAGGCCGACCAGGCTAAAGCCAAGAGCCTGGAACTCAATCCAGGTCTCCCCCGTGGGTGGCAGGGACCCAAGCACTTGAGCCTTCACCTGCTGCCTCCCAGGTGCACATTAGCAGGAAACTGGTTCAGAAACGGAGGCTGGACTCAGGGCCAGGCTCTCCCATATGGGAGGCTGGTGTCCGCTGCACCAAATGCCCATCCCTTTTCTGTATTGTAGTTCTGGTTCTTCCCTTTGATCCCCTCTTCCTCTACTTTGCACCCCTGATTCTCCATCAGGAGGGCACCAACCTCTGCATCCTTTTATTCTTCTAATGCCCACACCCACAACAGGCATTGCTAGCCGATCCTGACACACTGAGCTGCCCCAGAAAGTCACTCCCAGTCAGTCAGAGTTGGAACAAGAGCCAGCGCCTCCTTTCTGGTCTCTGTTCCTCTCACCTGCTACTCAGTGCCCATCTGCCAGTGAGGCCCAGAGAGGGGGTCGCCCAGTTCTTCCAGGGGCCACACGGAAGTGTCCTTCTCCCCACAGAGGGGCGGGCTTCTGCCTTCCCATGTGACTCAGGATGGGTCAGCCCATGTGACCGAGCCTGGTCTTGTCCCCCAGTGACCCCAGGCATGAAGATCTACATCGACCCTTTCACTTATGAGGACCCCAACGAGGCAGTGCGGGAATTCGCCAAGGAAATCGACATCTCCTGTGTCAAAATTGAGCAGGTGATCGGAGCAGGTAGGTGGCACCTGCAGGCCGCAGCCAGGGATGGAGAGACCAGGCCAGGGTGTTCCTGGGGCAGAGGGTCCGATGGGGGCAAGGGCCACAGAGCACCCTCTGAGACTGGTGGGGTTCAGAATGCCCGAGGAATAAGGCCCCTCAGAGGTCATCTGGTAGAACAACCTCACCGATGGAAGAAGGGGGAAACTGAGGCATGGGGGTGGGGAGGCGCTTGTACAGCAGGTCAGAGGTTGAACTGGACTGGAATCCAGTTCTTGGACTTTGCGCAATGCTTTGTCCTCTGTCCCACTGGTCATCCCAAGTCCCTGTGCCCCCCCAGCCCAGGCTCCCCTGCACCTCCCCGAGTGCCCAGTCAGAGACCAGGGCACCACCCTTGAGGAATCTGCTCTTCTTGGGGGCGGGGACTTTTCCGGGCCCCTGTGTTGTCATGGGGGTTCTGTGTCTGAGAGGGCCAGTGGACCTGCAAAGAGGAAGTGCACCCGCAGGCCGCAGGGGAAGAGGTGACAGGAAACAGGGAAGTGGCCCTTCCACCTGGCCAGTGGCCTCCCACCTCTCGCTGTGTCTGTCCCAGGGGAATTTGGCGAGGTCTGCAGTGGCCACCTGAAGCTGCCAGGCAAGAGAGAGATCTTTGTGGCCATCAAGACGCTCAAGTCCGGCTACACAGAGAAGCAGCGCCGGGACTTCCTGAGCGAGGCCTCCATCATGGGCCAGTTTGACCACCCCAACGTCATCCACCTGGAGGGCGTCGTCACCAAGAGCACACCCGTGATGATCATCACTGAGTTCATGGAGAACGGCTCGCTGGACTCCTTCCTCCGGGTAGGGGAAGCAGGGAGCGCCAAGGCCCCGCGGCACAGCTGCAGATGGTCAGAGCCTGCAGGGGTCCTGGGAGAGCCCTAGGTCCGGAACAGCTTGTAGGCTCGCGCTTTCCATTCCCTTACCATGGCAGGCATTGCTAGTCAATCCCAGCACTGTCTCCCACTAAACCCAGAAGCAATCTCCACATCCCCCGGAAGCCACGCCCAGCCGATTACAGAGTTGGCTCACTGCTGGCCGCCTGTTCTTGTGCACACTCTCAGCCATCCTCGTCTTGATGCACAGGAGAAACGGGCTCAGGGAGGGGCAGAGATGGCTCAGTGCCACCCAGGGGGTCAAGGTGAGAGCCTGGACGAGAACCAGGTGTCCGGCCCCTCCCCCAGAGTTTTCACCAGATCTTGGAGCCCCCATACATTTTTCCAGAACTATCTAGGCGGGGGAAAGAGTCCTGAGCACAAGACCAACAGAGGGAACTTCCAGGTCCCTCGCCCCTCCCAGGGGACCACAGTTACCAGTTAGCCGAAGAGCAGTGGACTGACTGCCACGCCACAGACATCTGGGAAGCACCCACTCTGTGCCAGGCCCCTTGTTGTTTAGCCCGGAGCAGCCCTGGGAAGTGGTTATGGTTTATCACCATCAGACACACAGATGAGAAATCAGAACTCAGAGAGGTTCTGTCACACGTCCCAGGTTGCACAACCAGGAAGGGGCAGGCCAGAATCAAGCTGAAGCCCGTGTCCTCTCCACCACTCCCAAGTTGGCCTTGCCAAGGTCGGCGGGCATCTGAGTCCTCCCCCAGGGAACCCAGAGTCTGGGCGGCAGGGGCCAGCTCCGGCTCTCCGGGGCTCCTACACCTGCTCTGCTCTTGACCCGTGTCTCCCCCACTCCTCCCAAAGCAAAACGACGGGCAGTTCACGGTCATCCAGCTGGTGGGCATGCTGCGGGGCATCGCGGCCGGCATGAAGTACCTGGCCGACATGAACTACGTGCACCGCGACCTGGCCGCCCGCAACATCCTGGTCAACAGCAACCTGGTGTGCAAGGTCTCTGACTTCGGCCTCTCCCGCTTCCTGGAGGACGACACGTCGGACCCCACCTATACCAGCGCCCTGGTAAGATGGAGATCGGGAACACGCGCCCCCTGCTGGACAAGAGTGCATCCACAGCCAGCCCTGCCCGCACCTGCTCATGCCAAACACCTGGCCCTGACCCCGTGTAGACCCCATCAACCATCACCCCCTGCCCTCCTGCAGCTCTCGGCCTGGTGGGGCGGCACAGGGAGGCAGAGCGGTGTTGGGAGGCAAGTGAAGGCCAGGCAGAGGGGCGGCAGCTGAGCTGAGAGCTGATGCGCCAGCAGAAGTTTGTAGGTGCCGGGAGTTCACGGCCAGCCTGTGTGACTGGAACGCAGTGGGAGAGGCAGCGAGCAGCAATGAGGAGATGCCCTTGAGTGCCCAAGCTTGGGACTCACTCCTGGGAGCAGCTAGGGTTGCTAAAGGCTTTTCGTTTTATTTTTTAAGGATGTACTTGTTTATTTGAAAGGCAGAGAGAGAGGGAGAGAGAGAGAAATCTTCCATCTGCTGGTTCACTCCCCAAATGGCCACAAAGGCTGGGACTGGACCAGGCTGAAGCAGGAGCCTGGAACTCCGTCCAGGTCTCCCACTTGGACCATCTTCCGCTGCTTTCCCAGGTGCATTAGCAGGGAGCTGGATCAGAAGCGGAGCAGCCAGGACTTGAACCAGTGCCCATGTGGGATGCAGGGGCAGCCTAACCTACTGTGCCACAATGCCGGTCCCATGAAGGGTTTTTAGCTGAAAAGACGCAGGCCCTGCCCTCAAGGAGCCAGGCCAGCGGGCAAGTGTGGCGAGTTCTGTGCCCCTCACAGAGAACTGGCAGGAAGAGAACAGATCTTTGGACACGAGGGAAGGGCTTCCAGGGGATGTGTGGATGAGAAGGAGGTGTCTGGGTGGCAGAGTGGGACAGGGCAGTGTGTGCAGATGTCCAGTGGTCAGAAGCGCAGGGAGAGTTTGAGGAACCAGGAGCTGCTTCCTGAGATTGGCACAGCACAGGGCACAGGACGGGGGAGTGCTGAGAGAGGCGGCCGCGCAGGTCAGCTTCCCACCTGTCAGCCATTTGTCCTGTCCCCCAGGGTGGGAAGATCCCGATCCGCTGGACGGCCCCGGAAGCCATCCAATACCGGAAGTTCACCTCAGCCAGCGACGTGTGGAGCTACGGTATCGTCATGTGGGAGGTGATGTCCTATGGGGAGCGGCCCTACTGGGACATGACCAATCAGGACGTAAGTCTCCGAGGGGGTGGGCGGAGCCTTTCCAGCCAGCCAGATTTTGGTGGTGGTGGGGGGGGGACCTCCAGGCCTTGTCCTGTTGTCCTGGGGCATGGGAGTTAGGACCCTTGAGACCGCAGGCCTGGTAGCCAGTGCAGCTCCCAGCCCAAGGTCAGCCAACGTGTGTGCGTGCACAGGACCTGAGCCCTGCAGGGGTGGGGGTAAGGCCTTCAGGACGTGTGCACCTGTGGCCAGCCCAGGTATGGTTCACCGAGATTGTTCAGAGTCAGAAGTGGCCAGGTGCTCACTTGGAGGGGGCAGGGTTGGGTTCTGAGAGCACAGAAGTTGGGGCAGCATGGGCAGGAGCAACCGGGAAGTCCTCACGCAACAGGTGGGACCCGCATGGTGGACAAGCTTGGGAAGTGGGGGCTCCCGGGTGGGGAGAGCAGCCTGTGCCAGGCCCAGAGGTGGACTGCGAGGGAGGGTGCTGGGGAGCTGGGCAGAGAGGGAGGCAGGAGTCAAAGCCATTTGAAAGTCAGCCCAAAGGGTTTCATTGGCAAACGTGCAGACGGGAAGACCTGAAGACGCCTCCTAGCCGGGAGCCACCGTGGAGCTGTGCAGGGCAGCCCGGCCAGGAGGGACGGGACAGACCCACCATGGGGCCTGAGCTGTGCCGTGGGGCCCAACAGGGGACCCGTCAATGGCACTGACATGGAGAACATGGCCACCCTGGGGTCACGCAGAGGCCAGAGTAGGGGTCCTCAGGGCCACCAAAGCCAGGTCAGGGCTCACACAGGGGAAGGAGGGTACAGCTGTGGGGCGGGCACAGGAGGGCCAGCCTGGGGCCCTGGGCAGAGGTTACGGTCAGAGCACTGGATTCCCCAAGATGGGCGGAGCACCCAGATGCCAGCTCACGGGATCAGACCCAACTCTGGGGCCCCCTCTAGGAGGGGGAGGTGGTTGCCATGGCAACACGAGCTCAAGCCTCCTCAGATGCACCCGGCCCCTGTGTTGTCCCCAGGTGATCAATGCCATCGAGCAGGACTACCGGCTGCCGCCGCCCATGGACTGCCCGAGCGCCCTGCACCAGCTCATGCTGGACTGCTGGCAGAAGGACCGTAACCACCGGCCCAAGTTCGGCCAGATCGTCAACACGCTGGACAAGATGATCCGCAACCCCAACAGCCTCAAAGCCATGGCACCCCTCTCCTCCGGGTACGGCTGCATCCCGCTCCTGGCAGGTGCCCCCCACTGCCGCTCAGGAAGGGGAAGGCTAGGACCAGCGGGGGGAAGGCTAGGACCAGCGGGGCTTGGGGGTGCAGGCGGGTGCAGCACACTGCTGTCAGAGGAGAATGCCCGTGCACTGTGGGTGGCAGGGGAATCCCTTGTAAAGCAGGGTCAGCAGCTAAGAAAACTAACAAAGGGTTCGGAGTCTTAGCTGGGGGCTCATCACTCCCCTCACGCGCGTCCTGGACTCCTCTAGCTTCCATTTGCACACTCACTGACACAGCCGTGCACACGCGCGCACACGTGCATGTATGCTCGGACAGATGCAGTGGACGCACACTCAGGCCCAAACACCCCTGCTTCCTTGCACTCCGCGATGCCACACTCCTCACAGCCACAGGCACCTGCTCCCACGGCCCGCTCAGAAGTCCACAGTCACCATACACACGCGTCCCCACACTCGGGTCAGTGTCCCAAGCTTGGGCTCTGTCCAGGGAGGGGGGTCTCACAGGCTCACTGGAGCTTCCCTTCTCCCCGGGCCCTGGGGCACGCTGCACCAGGCCGCCACTCAGCACTGCCCACCCTGGGCGGCTGCCACGGGCCCCACCGCTGGCCCTACCCCCTCCTACTCTTTGGCTGCACAGTCCCCCAGGTCCCCAAGGCATAGCCAGCTGTGTGTCCCCAGGATCCAGGGCTGTCTGTGCCAGACTCCTTGGGCCAAAGTCCTTCCCCCACCTGAGCTCTGGGGGCCAAGAAATCTTCACACCTGCCACACCCTTGTCTCAGCCCCTCCTGACTCAGTGGATAAGGCTACCTTGACCTCCAGAGAGTCAATTTCACTCCTTGCCAGGCAGGAAGTCATTGCCTTAGTATCACCAGTTTATCTGGGGATGCAGCCTCCTGTAGCACAAACCCCAGTGGAACAGCATTGAGCGTGGCCCTGGGGCAGGAGCAGGAAGTGACCACTGGAATTCCACCTCCCGGAAGTTAGAGCCACAGAGAAGCAGCGCCCCCTCTCGCTCCTGAGGTCCATCGACCCAGCAGGGCCAGCAGGCTGCCCCAGCTTCGAGTCCTGCACACCCACACACCATGTACACACTGACACAAGTTCGAACGCACATCCGCACACAAAAGAAACACAAACACGCCAGCTCCGTTGGTGCAAGTGGATACACACGTGCGCATACGTCGGCCGCCCGCAGGTGTGTCCGCTCCTCTGCGGGCATGGGCCCTGACCATCCCTGTCACCCCAGGATCAACCTGCCGCTGCTGGACCGCACGGTCCCCGACTACAGCAGCTTTAACACGGTGGACGAGTGGCTGGAGGCCATCAAGATGGGGCAGTACAAGGAGAGCTTCGCCAACGCCGGCTTCACCTCCTTCGATGTCGTGTCGCAGATGATGATGGAGTAAGTGCCCAATACCTCCACTCGCGCCGTCAGCGCCCGCTCCTCACTCCGCCCCCGCCAGCCAAGCAGGGGGCCCCAGAGGTGAGGAACAGGCCATGTCCCAGCCGGCACACGGGGACCAAGGGGTGACATGGCAACTCTGGAGTCACGCCCCCTGGCCGTGTGACCTTGGGCAAATCCCAGCACCTCCCCCGGCCTCTGTTTTCTCATCTATAAACTGGGGGTGAGCCGGGAGCTGAAAGAGATGGCAGGAAGTGGTGCTTGGTGAATGCAAGCTCCCCTCCCGTCCCCGGGGAAGAGGGCAGAGGGGCCCCCAGGCGGCCTCTCAGTCCAGGGCTCTTCCAATGCCACAGCCGCTGCAGCGCTGGCCACCCTAACCAGCTCTCCCATCCCAACACCCCAGGCAGCTCATGGGGTGCCCAGCCCTCGCCACCACCCCCCACCCCTCCCTAACACACATGCTTCTCTCCCAAAGGGACATTCTCCGGGTGGGGGTCACGCTTGCTGGCCACCAGAAAAAAATCCTCAACAGCATCCAGGTGATGCGGGCCCAGATGAACCAAATTCAGTCTGTGGAGGTCTGACGGTCACCACCTCGGCGCACCTGTTCCTCCAGGCCCCGCCCCCTCCACCCCACACGCCGCCGGCCCCCCTGGCGCTCCGTCCACTGCAGGGTCCGCCACCTGCCAGGAGGCCGCCGGCAACGGGAAGGACCAAGCAGCGCTGCAGCCACGAGACGTCCCCGAGAACACGCGCGACTCGGACGATGGAAATAAGGGAATCGGAAAAAAAAAATTAAAAGGAAATAGGTCCTGGAGGGGCGGGACACGCAAGGACTATTTTTTAAAGCGGATTCTCATCAGGAAAGCGATGACCGTTCTTGGAGAAAGCGTACAAGGGCTTGGGGGGTGCACGCAGTCTGTCCAGCCGGAGACCAGCAGTTTCTCTCCGTCTCCCTCTGGGAAAGTGACCTGGTCAGAGCCGAGGACACTTTCAGGAATCAGATGTGAACCGGCGAGCCGGGGTCACCGCCTCTCGTGTCCTGGGGCTGCTCACGACACAGCCAAGCACCAGGTCCCCGGGGGCAGGCGGACAGGCAGCCGCCCCGGGCCTGCTCTGGAAAAATCCATTCCTGCTGCCACTGAGCAATCAGAGACTTTTTCTGTCTTTGGAGAATATTCTAAAAACTCCAATGAGAGACTGTGTCTCCTGCTGGTTCCTGGGGCTGAAACAGGGGGCTTTGGTCCTCCCCGGGGTCGGGGAGAGCCCCGGGCACAGAGGGGGAAGGGCAGCTTTGCTGAAGACGCCCTCCACCCCAGGTCTGCAGCTCCACGGCCAGACCCCGTGCACAACCCGGTGGCGCCGCCGTCGCCGCCGCTGCCACCAGCCCCCAGCCGAGGCCTGCTGCTGCGGTCACTGCCGTCAGCTACGACTGCCACCAAGGAGGGTGGATCCTGCGACTGGGTTTGTTGACAGCACCGCGTGGACTCCGTGGGGGGTGGGGGTGGGGAATTTTGGTCACGGGTGGTTTTGGTTGGGGGGTTTGTGGGGTGTTTTTTTTTAATGACAATGAAGTGACACTTTGACGTTTGCTACCTTTTGAGGACTTACCGATCCTTCTCCAGTAAGAAGGTGCTTTCTGCATACTGACTTAGGCGATCTACCAAGGGCGAGATTTTATATGCACATTTCTGGATTTTTTATACGGTTTTCATCAACATCCTTCCCACCTCCCACCTGCTGCCAGGCCTCACCAAAGCCAACCGCCACGGGGCCATCTGGCCATCCAGAGACTCCCGCGATTCAATGGGGAGGGGGAGGCACCAAGGTGGAGGAGCATCCATCCCACCCCACACTCCACCACCCCCCCCCCAGGACTGTTTTTGAAAGCAACAGATTGAGCCGGAAGTGGGCTGTGAGGCTGCAAGTCCTTGCCCACTTCCCTACCCCCGCCCTCTCCAGCCTACCCAGTACTTCCCAGGCACAAAGGCCCCTTCGAGGTTCCTGGGTGCCCGGAGTCGGCCAAAACCCAGTTGTGCCTCTGGGACTCTAACCCGGGCTGCATCGGAGGCCAGGACCCGGCTCATTCACTGTGATAGCCCATCCCGGCAGAGGGCGCCCCAGAGGCCCCGGGCAGGCAGGCCCTTTCCCTTCCCTGGGGGGAACCTTTGTGATTTCTCTCCCACCTCCTTCCTGCCTCCAGGCCTTTGCCTGGACCTGGAGGTCTTGGCTGTGGGAAGCCATCAGCCGAGGGGTCTGGCCACAGGCTCTGTCCCGTGAGCCGAGGCAGGCACCTGAGCGGAACAATCGGTTAGTGAGCTGAATGGAAATAAACGCTTTAGTTATAAAACGGCCCCTGTCCTCTGTGTGTTCCAAGAGAGAGCCTGGCACCCCTGGGGCATGCCAAGTGGCTCCTGATGCCCTTCCAGGATCCTAGGAGTCGCAGGGCTGGGCAGACACGTGCAGGACAGCAGAGCTCCATGTGGCCTTTCTGGCTCCGACCCATCAAAAGCACAGGCAACAAAAGCAGCACTCCCGTTGGAAGTGGCTCGGCGTTCGATGCCCTGGGAATCCAGGTGAGCCACTGCAGGTGCATCAGGAGAAGGGGGTCGACGGGTGCACTCAGCACGCCTGGCCCAGAGGACAGGAGCTTGGGGCACCAGGTGAGCTGTGAGCAGGGTGGACTTGGGACAGTGAGGGCGGGACGGCCCTGGGGTTCCCTTGGCCACCAGCCAGGAATGCCCCCCTGATCCAGGCCAACTCGGATCTTCTCTGCGATGGCTCCTTGCGCCATCGAGATCAGAGCTGTGTGTGCACGGAAGTACTTTGCTGTGGACAGCAAGTCTGATGGAGGAGGGGTGCTCAGGGCTTCCCGTTTATCCAGGGACCTTCCTTGAGGAGACTGACCCTAGGGAAGAGGCAGGTAGCTAAAGGGCCTGCGGTCAGAACGCAGCCAGCTGGGCCAGCCTGTCATCTGTCGCTCACCTGTCCCTGAGGCCGTGTGAAGGGAAGGAAGGGATTAGGGAGGAGCGTGGGCTCCCGGGGGGGACAGCAGGGCCAGCCGCAGGGAAGGCACTGGCTGGGTTCCCACAACCTGGCCAGCAGGGGCCCACTGGCCATCTCTGTGCCCCCAACATGCCCGGCACGGGTGGCAGCTGTCCTGGCACACAAGGTCACCTTCTGGCTGCACTGATGCTGTGTGGATTAACTCTGTCTCCCCAGCCCGCCCCCCACACCCCACTGCTCCAGGGCCCCACAGGGGCTGGCAGTCGGTGCTTCCTGTCAGATGGCTTCCTGCCTAAGCCGCTGGGCTGGGCTCCACTAGCCAGCGCGCCAGCGCGTCCGCTCATCCGTCCTCCAGGGCCCGAGGGCCTCGGTGGCTTGGGCAGCCACGTTCCTGCTTCCCACAGTACGGGTGCTACCCGGACCCTCTGTCTCGTCTTCAGGGTAACAGACAGACATCACTGTGACCTCCCCTGGGGTGCAGGCGCCACTCCCTTCTCCCCTCTGCAGGGGCGATGCCCCGCCCCCCACCCCTTGCTTGCTGTGGCCAAGCCCCTTCCACTTAGGCTGCCCATTCCCCAGGCACACAGCCCCCAGCCCTTGCTGCCTGGTTACTAATCCTTTCCTGGCGCAGCCTCCTCAAGTGCCAGCCCCCACCTGCCCAGCAGCGTGAGAGGCGTTTCCGGCTGCGCTCACACAGTTGGTGCTTAACGAAGGAGAGTTGCCGGTCAGCACGGGCCAGGGCACCGTGGAAATGGGGCCAGATGCCCTGGGAGGGCTGGGCCTGGCAGAGCTGTGCCACCCACCCCGGTGCCCCTGGCTTCAGCCCCCCCCCCCCAGAAATGGGCCATTATCATCGATCATCAGCAGCCTCTTCCTGCAGGAGTGATACTTACAGTATTGATTAACTGGGAAGACGCGGGCAGACCAGTTAGAACCGACAGTGGTCACTGTAGGGGCCGTGGGGACACTTAAGGGACTCAGAGCAGGGGGTGTTTACCAATGCCAGCAGTGCCCCAGCTCAGATGATGTCACCTGGTTCTTTCTGGTTGGGCCCTACTCTATCGCTGTCTGGGGGCTCTCTGCCACCCCCTTGTGAGCAGTTGTGCCTCCCACCCCCTCCCAGACAAGGGGCTCATGGCCAGAAGGCCGGGAGCACCCACCCCTGCCCAGCTCGACCCCGTACCCGGCACAGGAAGGCCCCAGACCACTGTCCACGCCAGGGCCAGGCCCTTGACCACTCTGGGCTCTCCCAGGACCCCTGTGGTTCCGAGGAGGTACTGAAGGCTAGAACACTCCTGCAGGACAAATCGTGTGCATGCATTCGCGGGACAGGGTGCAGCCAGATGCGTCCTGACCCCGTGGCAGCCTGCTCCTGCCACTGGCTCGGGACTTGGGTCTAGGGAGACACTTCCCCTCTCAGCTCAGCTCCCGACCTTGGTAGCGAGAGCCTCGGCCCTGGGGAGCCGGCGAAACGCTGCCTGCACCTCGGTCCAGCGAGGCTCGGGATGATGTTGCTTGCTCAGGATTACACAACCAGGAGGGGGCGGAGTGGAGCCCAGAGCCCACGTCTGTCTGCTTCCAGTGCTCACTCTGCCCCACTCGGAGAACGGGAAGCTCTTGGTGTCTGTCTGGTGCTGGCTGGTCAGAGAGGGAAGAACTCAAACTGGCTGTCAGGGAGGGCTTCTTGGAGGAAGCTCACTTGAAAATGACCGAAGGAGAGAGAAAGGTCGTTCCAAGATGCAGTGGCCAGAATGGTCCAGCACAGTGAGGGGTCAGGTGCAGGCGGCCCGGGGAGTCGGGGAAGGTGGGAGTTGGTACAGGGGGAGGCTGAGGCAGGTTGGGCGTGAGCTACAGTTCGGCAGAGATGCTGGGACAGTGAGCATGGGGTTCTAGAAGTCAGCCCGGTCACCCGATGGGGCAGGAGGCCTCCCAGCCACCCATCCCCCAGGAGGCCCTGCTGCTCCTGGTGCCAGCCTCACAGAGACAGAGTGCCCGCTGCTGCTGGGAACAGCAGGGCTGGGATCTGTGCTGCCTGGGTCCTGACGGGCCTGAGGGCCGCCCCATGTCCTCCAGGTCTCGGGGGCAGGGGGCACAAGGAGGAGGGGAGCAAGCTCCTGTCACCCAGCATGGAGGGGGCCAGGCAGGGCTCTGGAGGTGGGCGCGGACAGCTCCCAGGAAGCCCTCCTCTGCCCGCGGACTCCTGGAGAGATCACCCAGACCTGTTGGCAAGGGCCTGGGGTCCAACCCTTTCTTACAGTGTGTTCTGCAGACCCTCAAGCCCAGGCAGGAGCCAGTTTGCCCTTCGGGGAGACCCAGGTCGGAAGGCTGGCAGCAAGGAAGGCGTCCGCCCTTGTCTACAACACAGGGGGGGCCCCCAGCTTGGGATGCGCCCCAGGCAAGGGGGGGCTCAGGGTAGAGGCCACAGAAGTGGCAGGAACAGCCCCTCCTCCTCCTGGAGGATGCTTAGAAGCTGCCCCTCCCGCCCCCAGGCCGCCGGCCTGCAGGGCGCCTCACCGCATCCCAGGGTTTCCTGGGTCTCCCGGGCCATTCATCGGGCAGCCTGCAGATTCCCCGGCGCCTGCGTGCTGCAGCCCAGGAGCCTCCTGCGGACACGAGGTCCTCACTTGCCTTCCCTCGCCGTAGACTGCGCCCGGGTTTCTGGCGTGCACAGGGCTCAGGGAAGAGCCGGGCGCTGTCAGCCAGGACACCCGACCCCGATGGCGGCGGAGGCTCGGGGTGGCCCTCAGGAAGGTGCTCAGACTGGAACAGCAGAGAGACCCCAGCCCCAGAGCCCGTCTGAGGTCAGCCTCACAGCGCGAGGGCTGCTGACACGGCAGGAGGCAGCAGCAACTTAATACTTCAGTCGGGCCCCACAGAGACCCCCCCCTCCAGACCCCCCCCCAGGCTAAGATCCAGGCCTGGCCGGGTGGGCCAAGCCAAGGCAGGGAGTGGCTT